TTTTTGTTAAATTCAAGGTGAAAAAATTAATGTAGAGCTGGGGACCACAGAGTTCTCCAGTTATTGGGTTGTAAATCCCCGCAGCCCTAGTTAACATAGTGAATAGTAGAAAATGCTGGGAGCTGTGGTCCACTATTTGGAGGCAGTTCCAACCTCTGATTTGGTTCATCTACAAAAGGATTTTGCCTTCTTGGCTGTAGTTGACAGGATCATCTATGAAAGTATTTACTATAGTTGGAAATGCTACACAATTTCACGTAAAAACTGCACCAACAACAGCACCAGGATAACAACACCTTTTTATGAAATGTTTTGACAACACAATTCTACTGTCACCTTAAAACCAGACAATGACCTGCATTCCTCTGTGACAAAGGATATATATACCTGTTTGCTGGTGGTATTGTTGAGTTATTTCAGCTTCCATGAGAACAGTGGGTTTGGGGCCCATCATGTCTAGCCCCAAAGATTGAATGAGACATGAATGGGTTGAAGGCAAAGGAACAGAGGCTTTATTCACTTTGGTCAAAGTGGATGCCAGGAAAGTCTGTGCTCTCAAAACTGACATGAGGCAATAAAAACATACAGAAGCATTTATTGGAGTTTAATGGCAGTTCAAAACATCAGACTTTTGCCACTCTGATTGGTCCAGCCCTAGTTCCATGTGCTGATTGGGTGAGATGCACCGTCTGCTGCTATTGTTGATTGTGGAAATTTTAATAAGCTGTCATTGTTTGGTTTAAATTCTTGTGGCTGTTTCTTGGTTTGACTTTGGTGGGTGTGTGGGGGATAGGAGTGTGGGTAGTGTTTGAATTAATGGGTGCTATTGCTCTTTTCTTTCACACACACTCCCTTGAGTAATACAATGGGTCTTGACTGGCTAAACAATGGGTGGCAAGGGTGTTGGCATGGTCTGCATGGGTTTCCAGGAAAAGAGTCTGGCTGGGTGTTGTGCAACTTCTGTGATCTTTCAGACTAGATCGATGGTTAAGTACACGAGCTATTGTGAAAAGATTATGTCACTTGCAGGGAGGAATGATGAGATTTGTCCTGATGTGTGTATGTGCTTTAGGCAACTTAGTAATTTCAGGCTAAAAGTCACCAGAAACTGGGTTTCTGGGGTCACCCACAGGCTCCATATCTTGGCACTCTTGGGGAACATTGTTGGGTTTTCAATAACAATATGAATAAGTTGTTTGTGAGAAAGGAAATCAAAGTGTCAATTGGAAATCTTGGATCACCTTGCTATGCTTTGAAAGCTTTGGATCATTATATATATTTGCATATAACAGCAACATTTCAACAACCTTTGTAAAATCAATTGCATTAAACAAAATATGAGTTGTTGTTCTACCAATGTGAGACTGAGTGCCAGTATCTGAATTCAGCATGCAACATGTTAGAAAGCTTCCAGCTGACCTTTTCAGGGATTCAGTAGCCGTAAATCTGTAATCACCCCCCAAAAGCTGGAACAAACTGTTGCAAGACATGTTAATTCTAAGAAAACAGCCTTTGTGATCTAAACATATTTGAAAAAAGGGAGAATTTATGGATTTAGAAAGTCAGTGCCTTGGTGCTGGATGCCCTTAGTTTAGAAGACAAAGCCACTCTGATTTGTTTAATGCAATAGCTTTTTCCAGAATTTGTTATTTCATGTAAATATACACAATGCTCCAAAGCTTCCAAAACCTTGAATGTTGCTATCCTTTAAATTCCATGCTTTGATCAAATAAATTCGTTGTGTATCATACCATGCTGTTCATCAGTCCCATTCCAAATATTTCAGAAAAAGATAGAAACTGAAATGTCTGATCCTTTGTTCATTTTATCAAATCTATATCAGTTTCTGACAAAGCAGCTCCTTTTTACAGTATTTTTATGCTTCACCAGACACCCCCCCCCCCCCCCCCCAATGTGCTCTTCATTCTCTATCTAGCTGGAAGTGTTTAGTATTATCAGCACTGGAAGACAGTGAAGGACATCTTGGAAAAACATAGACTTTCAATATTCGGTTGCAGCACTTAGTGTGCAGTAGATAATGCAATAAAACTTAAGCAGGGAAAGACTGGAATTCTACACTATCTGATGCTTCTGCAGCTTTATGTATACCTACAACAGGCAAGTTAAACAGTGGCTGTGCCCAGAATTGGTTATGGAGCGTGCATGGATGGTGACACAGAAAGAGAACAGATCAACCATCAACTCCCCTGGTGTGTTAAAAAAGCATACCCTTTTGAGTATAGCCCCCAAATTGGAAACCACAAGAAAAATAGAGGATGGCAAAAAGAAATCGCTGGATGTATGTTGGAAGAAGAATGATTTCTAGAGGTTTAATATTTTTGTTACTTATGCAAGTTTTACTTGAACTAGGTGATTCATTTCACAAGTTCATGTGAGTTTAGAAAAGCAGCAACAAAAAACTTTGGACATCTCTCTCTTTCTCCCTCCCTCCCTCCCTCCCTCCCTCCCTCTCTTTTCTTGATCCATAAGATCCAGCATGTTGTAGAGCAGGGGGTCCTCAAACTTTTTAAACAGGAGGTCAGTTCACTGTCCCTCAGACCATTGATCAAATACCTATGCGCACTGCATATAACTTATTTTGAAGTAAAAAACCAAATGGGAGCAAATACAATATTTAAAATGAAGAACCACTTTAACTCAATGTTATGGAATCCTGGAGCTGTAGTTTGATCTTTTGGCAGAAAAGGTGAAACAGCTTATAAAATTTTAAATCTCAGGTTTCTATAGCATTAGGCCATGGCAGCCAAACTGGCACCAAACTGCATTAATTCTACAGTGCAGATGCACACTATTTTTCAGTGCCAACAGAAACTACTGGAGAGGTTTGGGAGAAATACATCCAGACATGTGGGAGTTGTAGTAGCTCCTGCAATCAAAGAGCATTCTGAGCTGTCCCAACAATGGAATTCATCCTAACTTGGCATGCAGCGTGAGGGGGAGACAGAAAGAATGAAAGGTGCTCTGCGTTAGCAGAGCCAAGACAGATTCCACTGAGAGGGAACCCTCCTCCTTGGCAGGCCAGATAAATGCCCTCGGTGGGTCGCATGTGGCCCCCGGGCCATGGTTTGAGGACCCCTATTGTAGAGGTTAAAGCATTGCATTACAAATCTGGAGACTAGGGGCCCTTTCACGCAGCCCTATATCCCAGAATATCAAGGCAGAAATTCCCACAATATCTGCTTTAACTGGGTGATCGGAGTCCACACTCAGATAAAGTGGGATTTTCTGCCTTTATATTCTGGGGATATGGGGCTGTGTGGAAGGGCCCTAAGGTACAAATTTCCACTTGGTCATAGAAATCCAACAGGTGATTGGGGAAATTACATCCTTTTAACCACAAAACAAGGTAAAGTGAAAATCCCTTCTGAACAAATCTTGCCAAATAACCCTTTGTATTGCCATAAGTAGGAATTCTCTTGAAGTGACAGAACAACAACAAGAACAAGCTATCCATATTATTTCTATGTTATTTTTGCCAGTCGTGCCAATTTTTTTATTAAAGGGCTAATGCTTAGGAACATATCTGCTAAGTTAACTGAAGTATACTTGTATCATTTTCAATTTAATAGTCTATGGGATTCTGTACCGATCATCCAGGTTTGAAAGGCAGAGAACAAATGTCTGAACCAAAGCCACAGGCTTCATTTTCATTATTTGCTCTATTAAAACTGCTTTTAAAACTGTAGGGTGTTTTAGAAGGTTGGTGGTAATACCAAGTCTATTCCCTTTAATTACTTTAAATTAGAAGGGGGTAACTGTCAGGACAGGGGGCTAATTGGCTTCATTTGGCCCTTTTAGGTGGTTTATGGATTAGGATTTTTTTTTTAAAAAAAAAACAACAACAAATGACCAGAAATCATTTTGGGTTTTTTGGCCTGTTAATGTTCCAGGAAGACATGTTAACCTGTCAACTGTTGAAGGAGGACCCTTCAGCTTAATTAAAAGGTGAATTATGGCCCATGGAAACTTCCAGGACAGTCAGTTTACCCATCTTTGGGGTTTTCCAGATTAGTTCCAAGATAAGATTCCCTGGTAATCTTTTGATCAGGAGGTGGTACTGTAAGGATTTGTCTAGTGAGATAAATGTGATGGCCTTCCCACACCTTCCAAACTCCAACTTTCAGCTGCAGTTGAAACCTCCCAAGAAGGTTTTTGCTTTGCAAAGGGAAAGGGTGAAGAGCATCTCAGACCAAAAGCAAAACTGGATGCTCCTCCATACCCTCTCCCCTGCTTCCCTGGAGACGTTTGTTGGAATGGAACAATGTAGCTGAAAGTCCAGGAAGTTTCCATGGGCCATAATTCACCTTTCAATTAAGCTGAAGGGTCCTCCTTAATCTGTAACCACCCCAAAAGCTATGACAATGCACTGTTTTCCCTTTTGGGGGAGGGATTTCTTCTGTGTTTTCTAATTACAAAATTAGACGTGCGTTTTTAAAAACAGATACTTAAAATATAAAATAATTGTATGCATGTTCTTTTAGTGAGGTATATATATATATTTACTACAAATGCAGAAAGTTGGGGAAACCCTTAAAATAGGCATCACTCAACAGGGTTAAAGTTTGACAATTGTGAGATCTGCTTTGAATTATTCAGATGTTTTCAGTCTCTGAAGGTCAAATGAGACTGCAAAGGGAACAGAGAAAGAACATCAATATCATTAAAAATTTAGCTAGTATTTGCAGTCAAATTAAACTCCGAGGGCCCAATCCTAAAGTTTGCTGTGCCAACAAAATAAGTGCTTAGGGCTAGATAACTGAACGGCTGCAATAGTGCAACAGCATAAGCGATAGATGCCAGTCTCCCTGCATCGCAAGCAGATTACAGTGGGACAAATGTTCAGGAACTTCAGGAACGTGATGCATCTTTGTTTTCTCAAAAACAGATAAATAGAGTCTCTCAGAATAGCACATTGATTTATTATTGTTGAGCCTTGGTACACAGCAATGGATTTGTCTGTTAATGGGCTTTTCTGTTATAGAAAGAGCTTGGCTGTTTGGAAAAGGCAGAAATTGGAAGTCTATACTGCTGAGGATGTGACATCTCATCTCAATGATAGGTTAGTGGCAATGGACTCTGGAACACTTTTATATGTATATTAGTAGAAACTAAAAGCACATCAGGAGGGTGTGATTCATTTTAAAATCTATATAAATAAAAATGTAATGTTCGCTTGTGGGATTAACATAACTCAAAACCCACTGGATGAGTTGACATCAAATTTGGACACTACACTCCTAACAGACCAACAAGTGACCATCACTCATAAAACCCCGCAAAAAAAGCAGAAAAAAGTAGAAAGGGAAGGAATGAAGAGGAAAAGGGGGAAGGGGAAGGAGAAAAAGAAGGGAGGGAAAGAAGGGAGGAAAGAAAGAGGTAGAGAAGGAAGGAAGGAGAGAAGGAAAGAAGGAGAGAAAGAGGGGAGGAAGGAAGGAAGGAAGGAGAGAAGGAAGGATGGAACCAAAGAGCAAAGGAAAGAAGGAAAAAAAAGAGGTAGAGAAGGAAGAAAGGAGAGAAGAAAAGAAGGAGAAAAAGAGGGAGGGAAGGTTGGCCACAGCAACGTGTGGTAGGTACAGCTAGTATATCATAAAATAGAATTTCCTCGGGGTTGATGTTTTTCTTTTGATTCAGAAGGAATCTGAACTATTGATTGACATGGAAGAAAGGTTGGGTTCTATTGCTAATGAGCCAAAATTAATTTTACACATAGCCTGAAATTCTGTCTATCTATCTATCTATCTATCTATCTATCTATCTATCTATCTATCTATCTATCTATCTTATCTATCTATCTAATCTGCTAATCTCTATCCACACAGATATACATTTCTGGGAGTAACGTGCATAGAACTCAGTAAACCTACTTCTGAGTAGAAACGTATAGTCCTATCCACTTCCAGAGGAGCGACTTTTATTAAACTCAATGGGATTTACATTTGGGTTGACGTATATAAGATTACGGTATAAAAACTATTCTGTTACTTTGCTATTTGGCAGATGATTTTTCAGTACTGACAGACATTGTCTAAGTGATATTTGAACTTGGGATGTGCCAAAATTCTTTTGTTTGATAATAGATTCTCATATTTAACATCTCGGCATTTGGAAGGTTACACCCATCCCAAAGAGAGATTTTTGTAAATTGAGTAAGAGGAGAGTTGGCTTATATTAAAACTGAGATTATTGAAAGAAATCAATAGATGTAGTACAAGAGTACTCAACAGGTGTCTGAGTCTGTAATGGTCTGGACAAGGGCCAATGACCAGATGCTGAAAACAGAAGAGAAGGCTGAGAGGAGGTATGATGGCCATATGTAAATATGTGAGGGGAAGTCATAGCGAGGAGGGAGCAAGCTTGATTTCTGCTGCCCTGGAGACTAGGACGTGGAACAATGGCTTCAAACTACAGAAAGGAGATTCCACCTGAAGATTAGGAAGAACTTCCTAACCATGAAAGCTATTCAGCAGTGGAACTCTCTGCCCAGGAGTGTGGTGGAGGCTCCTTCTTTGGAAGCTTTTAAACAGAGGCTGGATGGCCATCTGTCAGGGGTGATTTGAATGCAATATTCCTGCTTCTTGGCAGGGGGTTGGACTGGATGGCCCATGAGGTCTCTTCCAACTCTGATTCTATGATTCTATGATTCTATAACTGGGTGTAAAACCAGCTTCTTCCAACTCCTTTACAACTCCTTTTTTGGCCATTTGCTGGAAGATCTACGTTTTGCCAAGGAATCAGTTAAATGGCAGATTTTTGAGAAAACTCGGCTGTAGACTATTATGTCTTCTGAAGACTATTCAAGCGGGAAAGGATTGCATCCAACTCCAGTCCTCTTCAGCCACTGTATCTCTGAGTTAGAATTACACTGTTCTCAATATTGGCATGCTTTTTAAAATTATGTCCTGGCAACCTCTGTTTAAACGGCTTCAATGTAACTATTTCTCTATACAGCAGAATTAATGCAGGTTGACACTATGGCTCAATGCTATGGAATCTTAAGATCTGTAGTTTGGTGAGACACTATATTAGAGGCCAAGGTGAAGTATTTTGGCCACATAATGAGAAGACAAGAAAGCTTAGAGAAGACAGTGATGCTGGGGAAAATGGAAGGAAAAAGGAAGAGGGGCCGACTAAGGGCAAAAAGTGACTGGCTTGACCTTGAAGGAGCTGGGGGTGATGACGGCTGACAGGGAGCTCTGGCGTGGGCTGGTCCATGAGGTCACAAAGAGTCGGAAGCGACTGAATGAATGAACAACAGCAAAGATGCATCCAAAGTTTCAGGGTATTTGAAAAGATGATTTTATTATTCCATTACATTTTGGACTAGTAATATTTTGTGGCAACTTTAAAACCATCTGCAGGGATTCCAACAAGACTGTTTTCTAAAGCTATGCTCAGTAACTGGGTGTACCAGTCCTTGTATTTCCCCTGCCTCCTTCTTGGAGATAGACTGGAAACTGCAGGACTGTACATGTAAGAACTTGCTTTTGTTTTGTATTTAACCATATTAAAATTATATACTTCGTTCATTTGTCAATGAATGAAAAATGCATTTGTTTGTTACTAATTCACTTAAATTCTGTTGATGTTCTTGCTGCTTTAATAGATCTTTTTTCTCTTGCATGCTCATAACCATTTTTATTTTGTTTCTGTTTCAGCTTTCTGGGGCAGCAACAGAGTGGATGTTGGCAACCACATCCTGGCAGCTGCTGTTTTGCTTTTCCAGATGCCCCAAACATGGCATCTTTATGGGGCAGTGAGGCACCCCTTAGGATTGCTGTGCTGCTGGGGCTTGCGGCATTCATTTCTTTTCCTCCTAATCACAGAAGGATTGGGGCAGACTGGCTACAAAGGTTGGTACTTGCTGTGGAGATTGGTTGGCTTTGAACCTGAGAGGAAGTGCAACCATGGCTATTTCGACAAGGGACTTCATCACATTCAATCCCCCCTCCCATTTCTAAACATTTCTAAAACAGCTCCATGATGAAGCATCACAGAGCCAATCTAACGATGCCAATAAACTTCTGCATGTTGCCCGTGATACTTCATCTGGGAACTGTTTTAGAAGTGTTTAGAAATGAGGGGACTGGAGACAGTGAGAAACCATCTCTTGAGTTCAGGAAGCATGAGATGGGATTTGTCAGATTTGCCTCTGTTGAATCACTTCAGTGATGTGGAGTAATGGACCTTTCTATGGGCAGTCTCTTACCAAGCATTGACATTTTTCTCTCAAAATCCTGCTTCATGAGCCTGGCATGGTAATTTTAAAAATTAATTTAATAATTAGGAATACAGTTATCATCACTTTTTTTCATCACTCCCCCCCCCCCCCCCGTAATTTCTCCTTTCATAGTAATCCTGGCTGTCAAAATTTCACTACTGCTAGCTTTTCAACTTTGTTTTAGTGCATAGGAGGTTTTGGACGCCAACTAAAATATGGAACAGCATTTTAACAGCTGAACAGAGAAAAGGAATTAAAATGCTGCAATTAAAAAAAATCATGAGTGGATGGGTAAAGCATGTAGAACTGAAAATTTACAAACTAGTTAAAACCTGGAAAACAAGGGGATTGAGAGGAGAAGGAGAGGAGCACAGGGAAGTGGTGTCTGCCTTAAGAACAGTGCCTTCTGTCTCCTCTATGGATGGTTGAGCTAGAGGCAAAAGGAGGTGATCCTTTGTGATGGGGGTAAGTAAATTATCTGTCTTCTTTAAAAACAGAATCCCATGCAAAGAAGACAATTCTACATGCAAAGAAGACAATTTCCCCCATTTACCTCGATTTCCCCTTCCTTTCTCTAGCTCTATCTGATGAAATCCAAGTTAAAGCAGTCTTATGGGTCAGTCTGGGGATTTTAGTGAACTTCATGGAGATGAAGGGATGCCAAGCAAAGGAATGAAGAAGATGTGCCAGTGGAAGAGACAAAAACAAGTGAGAGGAGGCACTAGAGAGAGGTGGATGGAAAGACACAGGACCTCTTCACACGCAGCTAAATAGCCCAGTTTTGGCCCTTTTGGCTGGGGCTTGCCAAGTGCCTTTAGACAACACATGGCAGGCCCTGCCCACATTTGTCTGAAGTGGTAGTGCCAGAAGGCACTTTCTCCACCACCATGATAACAAAAATGTTTTTCGGGTAGCTCAGGTGAAGTTACTCACACTTTCCTCCCCATTTCTTCATAAGATGGGAGAAAGAGTAGCAGGGCAATGCGCATTGCTGCCCTTTCTCCCATCTGATGGGGATGTGTTGGTGCCCTGTCCTGCCCCACTATGTGGTCAAAGAAGGAGGAAGGGCACTCTGAGCGCCACGAGGCATCCCATGTGCCTTCCCTTTTGCCAGTGACTACTGGCAAAATGGCATGGTCCCTGTGGGCCGTGTGAAGAAGGGGACAGAGAAAGAAAATGGAAAGCAAAGACTCAGTGAAGTGTGTGAGGCAGATGAGTGATCAGGGAAGAAGAATAACCCAGAATTTAGATAATTGCTTTTATGGTTTTTTTTACTTCTAATGTATTTATTTGCTTTATTTTTATCCCACCTTTTAGCCAATATAGGGATTCACGGTGGCTAGCCATAAATATAAAGTGCAATTAATACAGGAAAACATCATAGTTTATTGTGTGTCCAGTATCTGAGTCTTCTTTAGAATTTAACATTATGTTTACACATTAGACTAGAAATCTCTATCTGTCTTGCTCTTTTCATACATACACAGAGTAACTTGTACTTTGGAATACTGGTACAAATACAATATTTATGTTTCTGAAAACGGAACATTTTTTCATCTCCCATTTCATTTTTATGGATATAACTGACACATTTACACATCTGTGTGGTGCTAAGTGGAGACAGTTGTATCAGAGTTGACTTGCAGGGCAGGAACCAAAGTTTCCATCTGAAAAAACCTTTATCTTACTACAATATTGACATTAGGACAGTATTTTCCTTTGATTAGGATGCAGCGTCAGAAAGAGCTGATACCGACAAGGAGAGATAAATTATATCTTTTATAAAGAAGCCGCCAAGGGTTGTGCTTTTAAAGAAATTCAGTCTTGAAAACAAAATCAAAGTTTCCATTCAAAGAAGAACGTTACATGTGTATTGACCAAAGTGGCAGATGTGCCTTGCTCAGAGTCACATTGACTGATGTAGCTGCCAACAATGCCTTTGACTTTGTATGGTGGGATGACGCAGAGCAGGGTGAAGTATCCTTGAGGTGAATGTGGCACATGGTTTGAGTAGTTGCAAGAAGGAACCAGTCAGGGTTTCTTTTGCAAGCAATACCATTGTCCTCTTTGAGACATTTGAAAAGTTAGAAAATATCTCCATATTTTGGCTAAAGCAGAACATTTGTTTTCTTTATGAAGAGATAGAATCAAAGAGTTGGATGAGACCTCAAAAGCCATCTGGTTCAACCCCATTCTGCCAAGCAGGAATACAAAGCAAGACACTCCTGATAGATGGCCATCCAGCTTCTGTTTAGCAATTTCCAGAGATGGATTTTCACTCTAATGCGACATCTTCCGATGTTGAATACCTGTTGGGACATTTCCCCTGATATTGCACAGTGTCCTTGTCTCTAGAGCAGCAGAAAACAAGCTTGTTCGATCTTCAATATAGCATCTTTTCAAATATTTAAACATGGCTTTTTTGTCAACCTTCTCTTCTCCAAGCTGAATATACCCAACTCCCTAAGCTGTTCCTCATAGGGCATGGTTTCCAGACATTTTAACATTTTGCTTGAATGCCTCTGGACATGTTCCATGGTTGTGGATATCCTTTTTGAATTGCATACCCAGAACAAGACACAGTATTCCAGGTGAGGTCTGAGAACAGAGCAGAATAGAGGGGTGCTATTATTTCCCTTGAGCTAGACACCATGTCCCTGTTGGTGCAGCCTAGAATAATATTGGTTGTTTGACTTCTCCACATTGGCTTCTTTATTTGTTGGGTTCACATGTTAATGTTAGGTGAAACCAGAGCAAAATGTGGGCATTACCATTCAGCCGCTCTTTGTCCCTCACCTTCTTACTCACTCCCCATTCACTGAATAGGATGCCAGGAATCTTGATTGTTCTTGACAGAGGGCTCATTTGAACTTGTTCGTTCGTGGAAAGTTTCTGGAATAAGGCTAAGGGGCACATAAAATTAGGCTAGGCATTTACATATGGACCAATGGAAATTGCACAGAAATTGAATCCTGAATCTAGGGTTCCCAAATTTCAGGGACTAGATCTTCATCTCTAGTTTTCAGGAAAAGTGCTCCCATGAGCATAACTTGGAAAATGTTGGTGTGTGTTTCCTCATTTGTTATTCAATACCCTATACAACTGCAGTTCATCCTTAAGGGACCATATTTAAAGACATCACCAGTCTCTGGTTTGGATACTTTGAAAAGGTACCAACATCCTTTCTCAAAAATGGCTAAAGACCTTGTAAAATGACAACTCCCATAATTCTATAGCATTGAGCCATGGCAGTTGGAGAAACATCAAACCACATTAATTCTATAATGTAGATGCAACCCTCACTCCTAGAAGAAGATAAAGACAACTCTTGCAAGAAAAAGCTTTTGATAGGGTCATGTTAGTGATGCCATAAGTGGGAAATGACTTGAAGGCACACATCAACAAAGAGCCTCCCATAAACCTTGATACAATAACTTGCCAAAATTTGGTATCTCATATTATGGGCATCTTCTCTCTATACTTTAAAAGAGAAACCATTGTCCTGGGAAAACACACAGATGCCTTTGCTACTGTGCATATTCTGTTTCCACAGGAAGACTCTTTATGAGTCTTACTACCAAATGAGAGAGAAACCAGTAATTTCTAGCAAAAGAAGTGTGAGTACAGATTAGATTGTGTTTTTTATTTAGGGACAAAGGGACTGAGAAAGTCTATGTGGGATATTTCTCCAAGATTTGGTCATAAATCTTATGCCTAGCTTATTACTGAAGTCCATATTTGCCCAAACTTATTATCACCACATTCCCAGGCCATTGCTAAGAGGCATAGTCCTGAAAACACTTCAAATTATCCAGATCCTTCTTGACACCTCTTTAAAGAATACACCAAAACAAGTTTAGTGGCTTGCCTGTGGTAAAAGTGTGAGTGAACAAATAAAATCACACATTTACTGCTACCCTGGAGACTAGGACACGGAATAGTGGCTTCAAACTATAGGAAAGGAGATTCCACCTGAACATGAGGAAGAACTTCCTGACTGCGAGAGCTGTTCAGCAGTGGAACTCTCTTCCCTGGAGTGTGGTAGAGGCTACTTCTTTGGAAGCTTTTAAACAGAAGCAGGATGGCTATCTTTCGGGGGTGCTTTGAATGTGATTTCCCTGCTTCTTGGCAGGAGATTGGGCTGGATGGCCCATGAGGTCTCTTCCAACTCTATGATTCTATGATTCCTTGGGTTTTTAGAAGGACAAAGATAATATTTCAAAAATGTGATAAATTATGTGATAAATATTCTACAGTTAACAATATAGAAACGCAGAATTCAGTAAGAATTCAGTAAGAATATTCATGCTCTTTTTAATATCAATCCCAATGTGCTAATTTGTTCACTTTAAATTACTTGTAAATAAAACTAATTTTAAGTGAAATGACCATAAGTTATTAGACCTTACTCTTCAGCAATACATTCATTAGAGAAAACCGCGTGGCAATAAGGCCACTCTTTATCCTGTCCAAAATGTTGGTAAAACCTCTTGAAATTCAGGACATTTACATTATAATTTTATGTATGTCTACTCAGATACACTGAATTCAGTCGTAATTACTTCCATGTTAAGTGTGCATTTGTACTGTATTTATTGGGGTCTCACAGACTGTCAAAGCATGAGACATCCA